CCTATTTAAACCGAAGTTCAAGATAATGAATTCTTCGCTATATTCTATTCTCTATTAATAACACTATTCACTGCGCGGTGTGCAGTACGTACTGTTATTATCAATATTCCTGTCCAATTTTCTTAATCTTCAGTTTAAAGGTTTACACCTGTCTCTATCTTTTCGTTAAATAGTTCTCAAACAAAATAGTTCTGTTAAATAGTTCTGAAACATCGTTCAAGGAAAGAACTACATACAACTGACGGAAAGCAAAATCGAATGGAATAGGGTTTAATTAAGATAGCCTTGTGTGTGTGCGTGTGTGTGTGTATGTATGTATGTAACGCAAGAAATTAGCCGTTCAGTTAACGCGCAATAGTATCGGAAGAAAATATCAAAACGAATTAACTGCTAAACACAAAAGAGTAAATGAAGGGAACGGCGAGTCGATGCAAACCAGCTTCAAGAAACAGTCTCTAGCTCTCTCGTTCACCTAACAATGGCCCAGGCTATGGAGTTAATAATTGCTTTTACGTGGCAATGATAACAATATGCGTGTATAACAAATGTACTTAGAAACGGTTTCACTTGTGCTATTACTGCTCTCTGGCGATAAAAATCAGACATCATTGTTCAACTGCTGGCTCGTAACAAGGGCTTTGAGGGGGAGAGTTTGTTCTGCTCTTTGCTGCGAGTTTAAACACTATACACTTCCTTGATTGTGCGCCCAAAACATGGCGTACGGACCCGCGAACAACGTGGACCGGTCACGGTCCGTCAGGCGCGCAACAAGACACGCATTCATCAACTATATTCACTATTCTTCTTTTTTTTTTTTTGCTCATCGTTTTTCTCTTTTTTTTTCTTTTCTTTTTGGTTTGTTTTTGTATCTTTGTTATTTCGTTTTGTCCTTTTTGTTTTTTTTTTTTTTTTTTTTTTTTTCTAATCCGAAGAACGTTCGTGTTTCTTGTATTGTAAAATTAACGAACCTGTGGTCCTGTATATATACACTAGTGATTCCCATTTTTTTTTTTCTTTTTTCTTTTTTTTATTTTTTTATTTTTATTTCCTTAAAGTGCTCCTTTCTTTGTGTGTTGTTGCGTATACCAAGAGAGATCCGAGCAATATAGTATCGTGATTAACATCGACGCATAAATAAAGTTTCCTCTTTTTAAATAAATTTTTATCAAATATTTCGTTTTCTTCTCGATAGACTTGGTCTCGAAATTGTTCTCGATATTCACATACCGGGTATCTCGAGGCAAATGTTCCGCGAATTTTTCGATCAACTATGTGGAATTTGAAGAAGCAAAGAGGTACTTTCCTTTTCTCGTTGAAAAAAGAAAAGGAATGTAATAAATCTTCGTAGAATATACGATCGTAGAATAGCCGAAAATAGTTTCTTTGATATAACAGCATATACCTTGAAACACCCTGTATCTGTTGTATACATAATATATTTCTTTTAATTCGCTTCTCCTAGTGGTAGCGAAATGGACACATTATAAATTTCGTACAATTTCTTCTCCTCTCCCTCCCTACCTCTCTCTCTCTCTCTCTCTCTCTCTCTCTCTCCTTTTCGTATTTCGATCGATGTATCCCAATACTTTATTGCTGTACAGCGCGTATTAATATTTTGTCGTGCATCCTAAACTCGATTAAATCGTATCGAAACCGTGAAGACTCAGCCGCGACCCACAGACTCGAGATCCAAGAATCGACGAAAAGCTCAAGAAACAACGAGGAAAGAAAGTGAAAAAAGTCGTCGTGCGTTTGAAAGTTTCGCGGAATGGACGGCCAAACGAAAATTAGCATGTCCCGTGTCTCCTATTCGTGTTTGATACGTCTGGAAACAAGCGTATCCTAGTACATTGTAGTAAATAGCAAAATTTCTATCTCTAAATTTCAGACAATAAAAATCGCCGCTAATCTTCGTTCGATCCACCCTTAACGATAATCAGTCGATGTGTTTCTTCTTCTTTCTTCTTCTTCTTCTTCTTCTTCTTCTTCTTCTTCTTCTTCTTCTCCTTTTCCTTTTTCTTCTTCTTCTTCTCCTCCTCCACATATTTTTTTTTCTGTTTTTCTTCTTTTTTATTTAAAACGCGCGCTCGCCCGTTCGTTTCTTTGTGTTCATTTTTGTTTCTTGTTTGTTTGTTTTGCCTTACCGTACTAGAATTACAATAACGTTTTGATTAAATGACACGTGTCGTAACGCGTGCAATCTCACGAGGGAAACCGTCTTAATTTATCGAAAAAAAATAATGAACATTGTTTGTCGCGTGGAAAAGTCGAACAATCCTCGTTCAAGATAGATTTCAGGCCAGCACAGAAACAGCTCTCGGTTTATTGATCTTGTTCTTTTCTCTTCTTCTTTTTTTTTTTTTTTTTT